ACTTGTGTATGTGTGTGAATGTGCGTGTGTGTGCGCGTGCGCGTGTGTGTGTGTGTGTGCGCGTGTGCGTGTGTTGCAGTGTTTGTGTGAATGTGTGTGAATGTGTGTGTGTGTGCGCGCGTGCACGTGTGTGTGCTGTGTGTGTGTGTGTGTGTGTGTGTGTGTGTGTGTGTGTGTGTGTGTGTGTGTGTGTGTGTGTGTGTGTGTGTGTGTGTGTGTGTGTGGGGGGGGAATGTGTGTGTGTGTGGGTGCGGGTTTGGGATGTGTGTGGGGGTTGTGGATCTGTGTGTGTGAGTGTGTGCGCGTATGTGTGTGTGTGAGTGTGTGGACGTGTATGTGTGTATGTGCGTGTGAGTGTGTGTGTGCGTGTGTTTGTGCGTGTGTGTGTGTGCGTTGTGTGTGTGTTGTGTGTGTGTCTGTGTGTGTGCGTGTGTGTGTGTGTGTGTGTGTGAGTGGGGGGGGATTGTGGACGTGTGTGTGTGTGTGTGTGTGTGTGGGGGGGGGGGGATGTGTGTGTGTGGGTGCGGGTTTTGGATGTGTGTGTGTGGGTTGTGGATATGTGTGTGTGAGTATGTGCGCGTATGTGTGTGTGTGCGTGTATGTGTGTATGTGCGTGTGAGTGTGTGTGTGTGCGTTTGTGCGTGTGTGTGTGTGTGTTTGTGTGTGTGTGGGGGGTTGTGGATGTGTGCGTGGGTGCGGGTTTGGGATGTGTGTGTGTGGGTTGTGGATCATTGTGTGTGAGTGTGTGCGCGAATGTGTGTGTGTGTGAGAGTGTGTGCGTGTATGTGTGTATGTGCGTGTGAGTGTGTGTGTGTGTGCGTTTGTGCGTGTGTGTGTGTGTGTTTGTGTGTGTGTGTGTCTGTGTGTGTGTGCGTGGGGGGTTGTGGACGTGTGTGTGTGTGTGTGTGTGTGTGTGTGTGTGTGTGTGCGAGCATGCCATTCCGTCTCCGTGGCTGCTCTTCTTGGCCTGGCCGGGTGCAGGCAGCTCTTGCCGCGCTGGCGTGGCCGAGCGACGCGTGCCCCGGCCCCGCCCTCTCGCGTGGTCGCTCTGCCGGCGTGTCTCAGCAGGCCCACCTCGGCTTCGGGCCAGGGGCCCCCGCCCGTCTGCCCCTTCCTCGGCCCCCCCCCCCTATGCGCAGGAGGACGAGGAGGACGAGGACGAGGAGGAGGAGGAGGAGGAGGAGGGCATGTAAGAGGAGGGGGAGGAGGAGGACGAGGACGAAGAGGAGGAGGAGGAGGAGGACGTGTAAGAGAAGGAGCGGGGCAAGAGGAGGAGGAGGAGGAGGAGGAGGAAAAGGAGCCTCCCCGTCCACTTGCCTCGGCGGTCCCTTGCTGGCCTCGCAGATGGAGCGCCCCGAGGTCGCCGCTTGCCGCCGCAGGGCCTTCGCCCACCCGGGGAGGGCCGCTGTCGCGCGCTCTGCGCCTGGGGACGCCCGCGTGCGTCCATGTGCAGCCCTGCGAGCTCGCGGCTGCCCCACCTGGCCAGCTCGGGCAGGCGCCGCCGACGCGCTCGCCGTCCGCCCGTGCAGCGGCTCGTCGGCGTTGCTGGCTCGCGGCCGCCTCGCCTCTTCGGCGCCGCTCCCTTACAGCCAAGACGCTGACACAAGGAGCAGTTTGGGTTCAGACGGGGCTCGATGTTCCTCAGGTCCTTCCAGGCCTGGTTCTCGAGCGCTCCTCGTCCGCGCTTGCGCTCTTGGGGCCAACATGCGGTTTCGTTCCTTATCAGGCGTTCCTCATTTCAGCAGCCCGGCTGTAGGCCTGCCTGGGAGGCATCTTGCGCCGGTGTTGTTTTTGTCGTTGTTGTTGCTGCTGCTGTTGTTGTTGTTGTTGTTGTTGTTGTTGTTGTTGTTGTTGTTGTTGTTGTTGTTGTTGTTGTTGTTGTTGGTTTTTGTTGTTGTTTCTCTCTCTCTCAGTTGTTCCTCTCTCTCTCTCTCTGTATTGTTGTGTTTTGTTGTTGTTGTCTTGTTTCTTGTTGTTGTTGTTGTTGTGTATTTTGTCGTTCTGGTGTACGACGCGCCGTTGACGGCACCACCACCACAGCATGTTGCTTCTTCGGGTACATCGCCGCCGGGTTTTTGTTCAAGGCGTTCTTTTGCAAGTATTTCGTCCTCGGCGCTGCCTGGTTCCGGGGTTTTGCCCCCTCCTGGCCTTGATGTGAGGCCCCTCCTTCTGCTTCGCTCTCGCTAATTCAAGCTGTGCGCGGCCCGCTTAGCTTCGACCGGAAGAGGTGCGCTCTCGACCCGCGGATCAAAATTATCCCGGCAAAGCAACCTAACAGCGATGTGTAGAAGCATATATGAAAGCATTTCCCTTAAGATTCAGATGAAAATCCAGTTGTAGAATTCTGCTGTTTTCGCAATCGTAGTCGCATTCGCGATGACAGTCGCAGCGGCAACGGCAATCGCAGTCACAGCCTCAGCCTCAGCCTGCCTCAGCCTCAGCCTCAGCCTGCCTCAGCCTCAGCCTGCCTCAGCCTCAGCCTCAGCCTGCTTCAGCCTCAGCCTCAGTCTGCCTTCAGCCTCGGCCTCAGCCTCAGCCTGCCTCAGCCTCAGCCTGCATCAGCCTCAGCCTCAGCCTCAGCCTGCCTCAGCATCAGCCTGCTTCAGCCTCAGCCTCAGCCTGCCTCAGCCTCAGCCTCAGTCTGCTTCAGCCTCAGCCTCAGTCTGCCTTCAGCCTCGGCCTCAGCCTCAGCCTGCCTCAGCCTCAGCCTGCCTCGGCCGCAGCATCAGCCTGCCTCAGCATTCAAAATATGGCCCAGGAATGGAGTTCTGGGAACTAGAAGAACACGAAGTGGCCTACAGTTGGCTCCGGGCATTCAAAATCATGCCCAGGAATGGAGTTCTGGGAACTTGAAGAGCACGAAGTGGCCTATAGTTGGTTCCGGGCATCCAAAATGTTGCCCGGGAGTGGAATTCTGGGAAGTCGAAGAGCACGAAGTGGCCTACAGTTGGCTCCGGGCATCCAAAATGTGGCCCGGGAATGGAGTTCTGGGAAGTCGAAAAGCACGAAGTGGCCTACAGTTGGTTCCGGGCATCCAAAATGTGGCCCGGGAGTGGAGTTCTGGGAGCACCAAGAGCGATTTTGCGAGGATGTCCAAAGCGATTTCGGCTTCGGCGGCAGCCTCCCCGGGTCCCGCCCAGACCCCCTCTGAGGAGTCATGATGCTCTCTTTTGAGACCACTAGAAACCTATCAGCAAGAGCTGTTAGGTAAAAAATGTATTTTGTCGTTCCTCTCTCTCTCTCTTTTTCTCTTTCTCGCTCTTTTCCTGGCTGCACAGACGTTTGCATGTTTGTTCCGCTCGCGCACCCGCCGCTCGTGGCTGCACGTCTGCTGCCCCCACTGCGGTGACGCGCCCTGTCAGCCTACGTGGCGGTGTCTTCCCCGTCTCCCTCGCCTCTGAGCAGGCTGGCTCAATGGCAGCATCAGCGACGCCTCCGTCCTGACCCTGCCGTCCAAAGCGTTTGGTGCAAGCAACGCTTGCGTGCCCCGTGCTTGTGCTGCCGTGGCTGTGGAGCCATTTCGCCGGTTGCGGACAGATCTGTGCGTGTGTATTTGTTTTCGTTCTCGGGTACCGCCCTCAACGGCGGCTGCCAACTGGCACGCTCGCTGCCCGTTCACATGTTGACCGCTTCTGCGGTGCCACATCGCCAGGGGAGGAAAGAGTGTGCGTGCGTGCGCGCGAAAATTGCACTCCACTGCCTCTTCCAGTCCGCCCACCCGCTGCGCCAGGCGGACTTCGACGAGGCGTGCCCCGACGTCCGTGCTCGCCACCGTGCCGCCGCCTCGCCTCGCCGCTGGAGGACAAAGTGTAGTTGTGTGTGTGTTTGTGTGTGTGTTCCCGTTCTCGCGACTGTGGTCCAGGTGCGCCGACGGACGAAAGGCGTGCGTGCGTGCGTGAATGGGTGTGCGCTCGCCGCCTCGAAGCCGCTGGCTTACCTGCAGCGTCGGCGACGGTTCTGTCTCGACCCCTCTGTCCACAACGGTGGGCGTGATTACAAGCTAAGTGCCCCGTTATTGCTCCTCTCGCGATTGTAATGTGCCGCGTCGCCGGATGAGGAAGGAGTTTGCGTGTGCGTGTGCATGTGTGTGTGCGTCAGCCCTGACGTTCGGCCGTTCCGTCTTCTGTCCCCCTGTGCCCGGGGTCTGGATTCCAGGATTTGGGGTTGCACTCGCGCGCGCCCACGACGGGGCACGACTCGTGCCACTTCGTGGTACGCACGCGGTTCAGGCAGCCCGTGGACAGTGCAACGGGTGTTTTTGCGACGGGCACGGCTGGCGCCGCCGATTTGTCCAGCTGCCTCTCTGACTTGTTCCACTCCTTCGCCCTCGTTTTGGCTCCTTCTTTGCCGTGCCCACCCGTCGGGAGACTTTGCGCTAGTCGTTCACTTGGCATGGGCTTGCAAGTGCGCCTGAAGGGCAGTATCGGGCGCAACGTGTGTCGCCGGGCTTTCCAGCCACCGTTATGTTTCTCTGGCCCTATTTGCACTTACAGTATTTGCCTCTCTCTGCCAGCCCCATCCTGTTGCGTTTTCGTTGCGTTCGCCTCCCGCTCAGCCCGCCGTTGGAACCCCCTCACATTCGCTGCGCGGCCGTCTGGCGCCGTCTGGGTTTCGAGCCGATCCGCCTGCGTGCGTTTCGTGTCGTGGCAACTGCACCCCGCTTGAAGGGTGCCAGTGTTGATGCAATCGCGGCCCGTCGTGTCGTTCTGTGGCTTGGATTCAGCCGCACGTCGTGGGGAGAAAAGTGTGCGCGTGCGTGTGCGTGTGAGAGCGCTGGGGCGGCGCATCGTTTTGAGAGCACCTCCCGTACAAATCGAAGAATGCGTTTTGATAGTACCCCATCGCCGTATCTTCCATTACCTGTTTTTATACCGGTGTAGTTATTCCATTCGTGGTCACGTTCACCACGCCAAAAATAGTCTTGTGAGGCGTTGGATTCAAATCGTTGCCAGTTGGTTTCCCTCACGCGTCTGCCTCCTCCGTACTTTAATATATGCGCCAGGCCAGCAGCGAGATGGAGAAGTCAAAGCTCGAGTGCAGCCAGGCATATGAAGAGAAGGCGCTGCACAATGCGTAGGGAGACGACGGGACATCGTGCCACGAATGCCACGCTTGCTTTTTGGCATTCGCGCACAGATCCTTGAACACAGTTGAACCACTATTGTTGCAAGCGCTCCCATTCGCCTGGGCGCCGTGCGCTTGCTATTCATGCGCGATTTCGTTCAGGTATGGTTCCGTGTGAGGGCCAGTGTGATGACGACAGTAAGCAGCCTGTGGTCTGGCACGAACACAAAATTGCTGACGAGTTCCATCCCACCCGATTGGTCGATAAGAGCGCACGTCGCGATATCGTTACGAGAAAAGCTGTTTCGGGACCAGAGTTTGCCGGGGTGCTCCCTTTTCAGGACATCCACGAGAAGAGGAGGCGGGTCAACGAGAGAGGACGGGATGGAAATGGAGAGCGTGGCAGCCAGCGCATTGAGTCAGGAACGTTGAAGATCAAGGAAGGAAGGGAGAGGAGAGGCGGGGCAGAGGGGGCAACCTTATTGTTCCAGCTACCCGGCGGCTACGATTGTTCATCGAGTTTCTCCTGTTCCTCTTCCACTGCAGGCTCGGGAGAGTTTTCTCTTAACGCCGGACACGGGGCAAACGCCACGAGAAGATGTGGGCCTGCACCACACAGTTTGCGTCACAGCTTCCACGACACACTTTGAACAACACAGGTTACACCGTATAGCTTGCGACGACGTGCGTTTGCACCACAATAATTTGCCTTCCATAATTTCCACCACCTATTTTGCACCGCAGCTTATGATGATGTGGGTTTGCTCCGCATAGCTTGCTCAACACAGCTTCCGCCAAACCCGTTGCGCCACATGCCTTACACCACATTGCTTGCGACGATGTGGTTGTGCACCACAAGCTGGGAAACCGTGAGCACGCTTCAGGCGAAATCGCGCCAGAACCAAACCAAGCAAAGCAAAGTGAAAGGACGTCTCAGGCGAAACCGCGCCGAAACCAAGCCAAATCAGGCAATGTGCGAGGACGTCTCATGCGAAATCGCGCCGACATTCAGTACGATAAACCAAGCAAAGTCTGAGGATGTCTCATGCGAAACTGGCCCCAAACCAAGTCAAACGGCCAAACCAGCGGCCAAAACCAGGAAAATTCTGACGATGTCTCAGGCGGAGCACCCGGCCAAAGTAATCAAGACCAGGACAGCCCAGGCGAATTCGGAGGACGTCTCAGGTAAGACGCTTCGTGCATGCTCCACCCATTGATTTTGATTAAGATTTGATTGAAGAGTGGATGACCCCAGGGAGTCCCCACGCAGGGGTCCAAAAGGGATCGATTCTGATTCTAAGTGCGACCGAACTATTGAATCGTTCTGGCTCGCGCGCGGCCCCACACTTTGCGAGCTCCCCGCGACTTCTCCCACAGCGATCGGTCTATGTTGGTGGGCCGCAACAGGATGTACTGGGCTGGGGCGCAACAGCATGTATTTGGCCAGGGCGCAACAGCATGCATTTGTTCTCCGAGCGTTCTCGGGGCACCGGTGTTGCGTTAGGAGATATACTCCCAAGGCTGTAGAGCTTCCGGGAACCCTCCGAAAAGGGGGAGAGCCTTTTAAAAAGTCAGTGCCCACGAGTAGGAAGCCAGCCTCCGTTCCTCGAGGGTTGAGCGGCAGGCGTGGACGGGCAGATGACCGGCGCGGCGTGAATTACTTGATGCGGGTTTTCAGACAATCTCAGGTTAGATGTCCCACGCCAGCCCTGGCGACAACGTCCTCCTCATCTCCATCACCATCGCCATCCTCCACCAGTACAGGCGCCACCTTCAATCAGAAACCAGCTTGCCATCCTCACGGAGACATCCTATCCCCCGATGGCCCCAGGGACACGCAGAAGCCCTGAGGCGTCGTAGGAGGTGAGAATATCGACTAGCAGTGTGTTCCAGGAGCTCAAGACTTCTTATCGGAGGCTTCTTATCGAGTGAGAACTTCGAACCATCTATGTCTCCTACTCCTCATATTATTCGTATGCATCCTCATCCTCGCCAGATGTCCCTCTCGCTCATCCCTATCTCCTTATCGCCAAAGCCTTCGTCATTACCCTGACACATCAGTGGCTTTTCATGGTGCGTTAACATATCGGCCAGGATGTACGTACATACATGCGCAGTTGTATTATCGTCTGTGGTTTCTCTCGTCGGGACCCGGCAACCAGGGATTGGAATCGAAGCACATACCTACGCGTCAGAATCGTTATCGTGTTCGTCATCCTCCCTGCGCTGTCTGCTTCCTCGTCCTTTTTCCCGCTCCTAGGGCCCCCGCCTCGCCGTCCTCCTCCCCCTCCTCCCCACACGCCGTGTCCGCCCGGCGGCTCCCCGAAGTCGGCCGACCTCAAGCTGAAGGAGGCGGACCTCGACGTCTTCAACTTCGTCCTGGAAGCCACCAGGCGCTGGGCTCAAGTCGGGCCTGTCCCTCTACAGGAGGAATATTCAAAAGTAGTTTTAAAGATAGTTTGGGGACGATAGAAAAAAACCGTGTTTGGGTATTTGTTGAACATTCTTGAGGTAACTATTTTTATTTTTCTGTCCAAAATCCCCCTGCAGGGGGACAGGCCCGACCCAACGCTGGGCGAGCCGGGCGGCGGGCGGCGGGGCGGGGAAGGCGGGGCAGCGGAGGGGCGCCGGTCAGCGGCAGCGGGCCGCGGAGATGCGGAAGGCCAACGGGCCGGCGGCCGCGGAGATGCGGAAGGCCAACGGGCCGGCACGTCCGGCAGGCGGGGCGGCGGGCGGCGCGGCGGCGAGGCGGAGGGGGCGGGGCAGCGGAGGGCGGCCGGGCCGGCAGAGGTTCCACGGGCAAGCGATGTGCCGAGGTCCGGGCGGGTTCTGAACGCCTCGCGTCTGCCCATCTGCCTTTTCAGATCGTGGCGCTGTTGCTTCGCTTCTTGCCGGCGCGCAGCTGCTTCGCTTCTTGACGGCGCGCAGTTGCTTCGCTTCGCTGTTGCTTCGCTTCTCGACGGCGCGCAGTTGCTCATGTGCCGCTCGCGAACAAAAGGAGTCTGCCCACCTGCCAATCCGGAGCTGACGCCCAGGCGATTCGCCTTGCGTCCTGGAGGCCTCACGGGGCCTCTTGGGAGGAGGGGGCGGAGGAGGAGGAGGAGGAGGAGGACGAGGAGGAGGAGGAGCAGGGGGAGGAGCAGGAGGAGAAGGAGGATGAGCAAAAGAAGAAGAAGAAGAAGGAGGAGGAGGAAGGGAAGAGAGGGAGGCCTTCGCAGATCTTTCGTTGTCGGAGCTTCCTGGAGGCGCGTTTTTGGGAGCATGTTGGCCCCCTCCTGTGGCCACTATGGGGAGGTCTTGGGGCCCTCTTGGGGGTCCTTGGGGGTCTTGGGGCGCTCTGGGGCCGATCTCGGGCCCCACGGGTAACAAAAATGTGGGGGGGTCAAGTCGCCCCTTCCCCCCCGGAGGCCGCAGAATTGCTTCCCGGGGCTCTTGCGCCGTATTGTGGCCCGCTTCCTGGGGCTCTTGCGCCGTACTGTGGCCCGTCTGGGCTCCTTTGGGGGGCTCTCGTTGGCCATCTGGGGCAGCCCTTCCCTCCCCTCCGCGCAGACAGGGCTGGGCCGGCAGGGCGGAGGAAGACAGCGCCTGCCGCCGAGGTGCGCCGACGAGGAGGCCGCCAGCTTCGAGCAGGACAGCAGCCAGGGGCTGCGAGGGATCACTTGCCCTCGATCCCACCTCCACCATCCATCCTCCCTCCATCCATCCTCCTCCTCCTCCCCCCCTCCTCCTCCTCCTCTTCCTCCCTCCCCCTCCTCCTCCCCCTCTTCGTCTTCTTCTTCTTCTTCTTCTTCTTCTTCTTCTTCTTCTTCTTTGTAATCCTCTTCATCCTCCTCCTCCTTCTCCTCCCCCTCCTCCTCCCTCCTCCCCGGTCCTTCTCCGATCCCTCCTCACCCTCTTCTCTCTTCCTCCCCCCTGCTGAACGCGCGGCCCCGGCACCAGACGCGTCCCGGGTTTGGCGCCCACTGGGTGCCGTTCTGGCTGCTCATGGCGGAAGTCCTCCGCCTCTGAGTGCTCGCCCTTCTCCCCCCCCCCCCCTCCGCGGCCGCCTTTTGCCTTTTTCCCCTCCTCCTGCATGCTGGCCAATTCGCTCTGTAGCGCCCCTGCATCGCTGCCACGCTGGAGCGGCTTGTCCCGCCTCGCCGCCGACGAAGAAGTCTGGTGTCCGTTGGGGCCAGGCGTGTCGGCTGGTAGTCCATCATCGCCCTCCCCTCTCCCATCGCTCTCCTTGACATCGCTCGGACGTGTGCGTTTTTTCCTCGGCGAGGACCATCGAGGAGCATCCTTGATCATTTGGCGAAAAAACCACGCACGAAGCCGAAAAAAAAACAGGGAATGGACGTCCGAGCGATGGCCAGTCTTCCTCGAGGGGCAACCCGCTGGCGCGATGCTCAGAGGGCCGCTGCCAGGGCGAAGGCAGAAGCTGGTGCAGCATGGCACCACGATGTCAGGTGCCACGGCAGGTCTCAGGTAGTCTGAAGTCGGGCCTGTCTCTCTACAGCCGGAACATTCAAAAACAGTTCAAAACAGTGCTGGGGACGATGTTTCGATTATTTTTAGCTATTGCTGGATATTGTTTGGCTATGTTCTCATGCTTCGTCCAAAGTCCGCCTGTGGGAGAACATGCCCGACCTAAAGGTAATCTCCATGGTAATCATTATCCTGCCCCCTCCCCGACTCCTCCCTCCTGTGCGCCCGGCCCCGGCGACGAGATTCTGAGCGCAGGCACGAGTGGGCACGCGGGTCTGCCTCCATCTTGGCGCCGTGCGCGTCGCGCCTGACATTGATGCCAGGTCTCCAGGACTCGGGGCCTATCGCTGATCTATCGGCGATGTATCGCCGATTCTAGCTCGATGTGTCCCCGCACCCTTGGGCCGGTCCCCTCCTAGTGAAGGTTGCCCCTCATCTCCAAGGGGGAACGCCCCACTCCGCCCAAGGTTTCGCAGGGCTCCCATACAGTCTGCCACCAGCCCTCTTCGCAGTCGCCTCGAAGTTCACGGTGGGTGGGTGGTGGCTGACGGGGACTTGTTGTCAAGAGTGTTTGTGGGACTTCTGGGGGTTTGAGGTGGCTCTCGGATCTCGCTGCTCTTCATGGGGAGGCCGTCAGAAGCCCCTGCGAGGTTTGGACGACCCGTCCCAGACTCCGAGCCGGGGCACCTCTGAACACCTGCGCCGCCGCCTCTGCCGCGTCCCCTGTCGCTGGCACCCCAAATGCGCGACGGGAGATCCTCCAAGCGAGGCCCACCCCCCTCCGACCCTTGCCCGAGGATGGCGCGACGCCAGGGTCACTACAGAAGCACCGCGCGGGGCATCCTCGCAGCAACGAGTCAGCCGCCAAGCGCAAGGCCGCTCGCGCCGGCTCGCTCAACGAGCCATCCATAAGTGCGGGGGTGAGTTGTCGTAGAGGAGAGCGTGGAGCACGGATGCGCAGTGGATTGGACGTTTTGCCAACTGGAGCTCCATAGGGCATTGAGGACCATGTAGCCCGTATTCACGCGAGGCTCCGCCCGGGTCTCATCCGCATCCCATTCCCCAATTAGTGCTTGCACCAAGGAGGGCTTATCATTCAAGCAGTGGCGAAGCGTCCTGGCTCGCCTATAGCCCTACCAAACAATGTTCTAAGAACCCTTTGTGGTTTCCACGAAATGTTCTTAGAACAGTTTTGGCGGAGTCTGTCTTGTTTTTATCACATCAAGTGTATGTTCTAAGAACATTGTTTTTGTTCTTAGAACATTTTTGGGTTCTACGAACATTCCGCGGTAGGACTATAGGAGGAATGCCAGGACGGTCGGTCCCTGCTCAAATCATTTCAGTCCCAGGTAAGGTGCTGGATTTCCGCAGTGCCCGCCCGTGGGCGCCTCGTGGGCGCCCCCGGCGCTTGCTGGGCTCTCTGGGTCTCCGGCAGGTGCCCCCCCCCCCCCCCGCGGGCCCTGGTGGGCGCCTCGTGGCTGGCTGGCGCTGCCTCCCCCTCTCTGCTCCTCCGAGAAGCCACAGGAGGAGGAGGATGATGAGGAGGAGGAGGATGAGGAAGAAGAGGAGGAGGAGGAGGAGGAGGAGGAGGGCATGCCAGCCAGGCCTGGCACCGCCGCCGCACCCCCCCGGGTCCTTGTCGAGTCCACTGTGCGGTGCGAATGCGCTGATCTCGGCTACCGACTCCTCAAAGGGTGCCTCAGCACGGCAGACAATGTTGTGGGGCACGTGCGCGAACCGCCGCGCACATGACACACTCACGTAAGGACGAATTCTGGTTCTCACCACTTCAAAACGTACCGATCGAACACACATGGCAGCGTGCGCTCCACGCAGAGTTGCCAAACGTCTGCGCGCGCACTCGCCGAAGCCATGAGAAAGCCGTATGCGTTTCGCAGACTCTGCTGGATGGGGCCGGGCGGGCCCTGTGCGCGCCTGCTGAGAATGGTCAGCCGCCATCGTGCGCCCACCCACTCTGCCCAATGACAGCATGCGGGCCACCCGCGCGCGTCTCCGTGCGCGCGCGCGTCGACTTCCGTCCAAAACTATGGTTTTCGACATATGTCAACACAGAGGGCTTCTTAATCAACATCTTTCGGGAACTGTGTTTTTTCAATGTTCTTGACAACTAATACTAAAACTTTCTGGAACTATGAAGCTCTGAGAGCGAGCACTTCCCCCATCACCCTCGTCATCACAGTCACTGTCAGCATCACCATCGTCAGTATTGGCATGGTCATCAATCTCACCATCGCCTTCGTCAGCATCACCGTCGCAGTCAGCATCGTCATTGCCCATGCCGTCGCGGTCGTCGAATTTCTGCGTGAGCACTTCCTGAATATCCGCACCATCACCATCATCATCATAACCATCATCATCACCACCATCATCATCAGCAGCAGCATCATCTTCATCAGCATCAGCATTGCCCCCGTCATTATCATCACCATCAGCTTCATCACCATCGCCGTCGTCGACACAGTTTCCACCGTAGTCATGAACACCATCGTGTCGTGTTCGCCGCCCAGTCCGGTGTTGGCAACAAGCTGCGGGAGGGGGTTGGGGTGTTCGTGCGAGCATGGGAGGGGTCGTGCGCGGTTGTGGGCAAGCCTCAGTCACCGCGTGGGTTGAGCAGCACGCGTTGCGTGCCTTACACAGATTGCGCCACAGGAGATGCAGCGCAGGTGTCGCATGACACACAGATTGCACCACCAAGACTGCACATCTGGAGCGCAATCACCGAGTCTATGCGGGGTCCACGATGGCAAGCGCACCGGGAGAGCCGCAGGGAGGGGCCGTGGGGCGAGGAAGAGGAGGAGAGCGGGGCGCAGCAGGAGGATGCGAAGATGCAGGCAGCAAAGGACAAGGGCGAGCGGGAAGAGCCTGGCTGAGCAGGAAGGGGAGGAGGAGGAGGAGGAGGAGGAGGAGGAGTACAGAAGGAGGGCGAGGAGGAAGGAGGAGGAGGAGGAGGAAAGCAGCAGTGCGGACAAGGAAGAGGAAGGAGGGAAGGACGTGACGAAAAGAAGAGGAAGGAGGGGGACAGGAGAGTGGAGGAGGAAAGGAGCCGGAACATGAGGAGGAAGAGGCGCAGACAGAGGAGGGGGGAGAGGAAGAGGAGGAGGAGGAGGATAAGGAGGAGGACAGGGATGTCGACGCATAGAGGAGGAGGAAGGAGGAGGAGGAGGAGGAGGAGGAGGAAGGAGTAGGAAGGAGTAGGAGGAGGATGAGGGAGGAGGAGGAGGAGGAATGAGGGTACGTATATAAGGAAGAGGAGGAGGAGGAGGAAGAGACGCAACAGCAGCAGAGGCAGCAGCAGCAGCAGAAGGAGGAGGACAAGGTGGTGGAGGAAGAAGCGACGGCCGGGCAGGAGGGCTGCCCGTCCTCGCGCCTGCCCGCGCGCGATTTGCTCCTCGCGCGGGCGCCCCTCCGCGGAGCGCGCCCCCTCGTCTGGCGAGCGCTGCTTCCGACCGCCTTCTCCTTCCCCTCCTCCCCCTCAGCATCCGTTCGCTCTCCTTCCCTTTGTCGTTCTGCCTCTGTCTTTGTTTTGTTCTCGCGCTCTCTCGTTCTCTCTCTCTTTCTCTCTCTCTGTCTCTCTCTCTCTCTCTATCGCTCTCTCTCTTTCTCTCTCTCTATCTCTCCCTTTCTCGTTGTCTCTACTTTCCCTTTCTCGTTGTTTCTCTCTCTCTCTCTCTCTCTCTCCTTCTCTCTGCGGGCAAAGGAGGAAGCCATGCGGGTAGCAGAGGAAACCATGCGGATACAGAGGAAGTCGTGCGGATAGTCTGACGATTGCAAGGGCAACGTAGTGGGGGCAGTGGGCCAGCCCCCCCACGGATGGAGCCAGGACGCCTGCATGCAAGCCTATCTGGAGAGAAGTTCGTGTGCAGCGCCACGCACGCTTCCCCGAAGGTTCGGCAATCTACATGGACGGAGGGATAGTGCACTCCAGAGCATGAGCGTCTGGGCACGCGACGGCACTCGTATGATATAGGGTATGTACATCGTGTGCTTGCCGCTTCCCATCAAGGGAGGAAAAGCCGCCCGGTGGCGTTCACTAAACGGCCTTGGGCGTTTCCTAAACAGCCCTGCCCCGTTCGATTCCTTGCCTTGGGCACGTTTGCTGGACGACTCCGCGTGTCGGGGTGCTTATTACGGGGGGAGATGTTTGACCTCTACAGTCAACCCACATAATAAGGATGGGCGACCTTCCCAAGGGTACCCTTGCATCCTTGCCTCCTCGGTTCATCCTTGGCCTCTTTCGTTGGCCGCGCCCCGCTCGAATAGCTTCGAAATGAGCGTCCAAGGCCCCTGCATCCTTATCGCGCATCCTTACTGTCCGGGTTGACTGTATTCCAGCGGCAGGGGCCAGCGGGGTGTGCATTTCCCATCCTCCCCAAGTTGTGGGAGCATCACGGCTTTAGCTGGCATGAGGCTCGAATTTGCGGAATGCCCATGGGGCCTTCACGCTGCCAGCGGGCGCCCGAGGCAGCAAGAAGGAGTGCCAGCACGGCCGCGCGAGAAGGGGGCAGTGCACGTCGATCGCGGCCTCACCGGCGCGTTGAAGCCGTACTCGTGGTCATGTGATCTCTCTTCCTACCCCTCATCGTCATCACCATCATCATCACCATCATCATCATCATCACAACCATCATCATCACCAGCATCATCACCACCATCATCATCATCACAATCATCGGCATCATCAGCATCATCATCATCATCATCATCATCATCATCATCATCATCATCATCATCATCATCATCATCATCATCATCATCATCATCATCACACCACCTTGTCCTGCTCCTGCTCCTCCTTCTCCTCCTCCTCTTCCCCCGCCCTGCCACCAGGCCACGATGATGATTTGTGCGACGCCGCGGGATGGATTCCAGATCCACTTCGACGACCCAGCAGCGCAAGCGAAGTTCCAACGCCTACTGACGACGCCTGCTCGCCAGGTTTCCCCGTCCGGGAGCGGAGGGCGACAAGGAGGAGGAAGGGAAGGAGGAGGAAGAGGAGGAGGTTGAGGGGGAGAAGAAAGAAGACAAGGAGGCGCAGAAAATTCAGCTGCCCTACCATATTCCAGGCGTAGGGGTCATGGGAAGGGGGGGCGATGAGGGTAAAGTGTGGTGCGTTCTGGGCGGGTTCGAGGCGTGACAAGGTTCTACTGCGGCCAGATGGGCCTTGGTGCGGCCCGGTGGGCTTTAGTACGGCCAAGGGCTCTCCGGAGTATATGAATCTTCGAGAACGGTGAAGCGGGGTAGGTCTTGGAGTCTTTGAAGAACCTCCCGGGGCCCCTGAAGAGCCTCTTGGGGCCTCTGGTGAGCCCCTTGGGCCCTCCCTCTGAAGAGCCCCTTGGGGCCTCTGAGGAGACGGGGCTCCGCGCAGCGTCTGTAGAACGGAACCTTGGGTTGGCGGTACGTCGCTCGGGAGATGGGGCTCCGCACACGGGGTTGGGTGCCTGTAGACGGACCAAGTGGGGGGATGGGGCACAGGGCTGGGCGTCTATAGATGGAACCCTGCCTCCTCCTCCTCCTTCTCCTTCTCCTCCTCCTCCTCGTCCTCCTCCTCCTCCTCCTCCTCCTCCTCCTCCTCCTCCTCCTTGGTATGATGCTCCCCCGCCGGGAGAGTGGGCTCCGCGCACACGGCTGGGCGTCTGTAGCCAGCACTCTGGCTCCACGCGCCTCGCTCGGGGGAGCGGTCTCCGCGCAGGCGGCTGTGCGTCTGTAGCACGATGCAGGATGAACGATCAGCGGCCACCTGATTGACGTTTTCTTGGTTGATGATGCTCCAACCTACTTGAGCCTTGATCGCCAGGAAGAATTTCGAGCCCCCAGGAAGTACCGAACCTCAAGGGTTTTCACGCGTCGGGCCCTGGGAGACACTCGCCTGACACTGTTTCGACACTCTTTTGACACTTTTCTGGGTGCTCGAAATTATTTCTGGGATGCGGTCCTTAAGTAGGATGGGGACAACATAATTCTTGGTGCGCTCATTATCCTCCTCTCAGTATCGTTTATCCGATCCCCATCCCCATCCTCATCCCCTTCGCGAGACCCCCACCAAACTACCCCCCTAGTTGGGGATACACCCCTCGAAACCTGAAGGGAACGGCCTATATCCCCATCTGGGGTGGGTAAATCGGCCAGTGGGGCCCAGGCCATGCCGCTGGGGATGGGGATCGGATAAACGATGCTCATCCTGTCCCTCGTTGCCTTCCCTCCTCCGTTTCTCTTCTCCTCCTGTTCCTCCTTACTCTTCCCTCCTTCTCCGTGCGACGATGAGCACGAGCGACAGCGACGACGACGACGACGACGACGGCGATAGGCGGCGACGACGGCGAAGGACGACGCGGGCGAACGCATTCTCCACCCCCTCCAAGTCTCTCCCCCTCCGCCTAGCGACGACGAACGAGGATGCTGATGATGATGATGATGATGATGATGATGATGATGATGATGATGATGATGATGATGATGATGATGATGATGATGATGATGATGATAATAATGATGATGATGATGATGATGATGATGATGATGATGATGATGGTGATGATGATGATGATGCTATGATGATGGTAATGCTGCTGATAATGATAATGATGATGATGCTTATGATGATGAGTTTGATGGTGATAAGGATAATGATGATGATGACGACGACGCGGGTGCTGACGACGACGATGATTATGATGTTGCTCATGAACGTTATGATGATGGTGGTGTTGTTGATGATAGTTATGCTGATGATGATGATGTTGATGATGATACTGACGACGATGAGGATGGGAAGGCGGAAGAAGAGGAGGATTGAGATGAGGTTGAGGATAAGGCTGAGGGCGAAAGCGAGGGCAAGACCGTTGTCGAGGAGGAGGGAACTTAGTAGGAGGCAGGATGAGGAGCATGAGGAGGCAGAGGAAGGTGATGGCGGTAGAGGAGGTGGAGGAGGCGAGCGAGGAAGCAGGAGGAGCATGCAGCAGGAGGAGCCGGCATGAAGGAAGGCGGGAGGAGAAAAAGGCCGACAGGAAGGGAGGCGACGGCGACGACGAGGATGACGGTGACGTTGAAGAAAATGGTGGTGGCTATGATGATGATGTCGACAACGGCGGTGACGACGATGACGACGACGATGACGATGATAATGGTGATGATGATGATGATGATGATGATGGTGATGATGATGATGATGGTGATGGTGATGATGATGATGGTGATGATGATGGTCATGGCGATGCTGATGGTGATGTTGCTGATCATGGTGCTGATGAAGATGATGATGATGCTGACGATAATGATGACGATGATGATCATGATGATCATGATGATGATCATCATTATCATCATGATGATCATGTCGGTGCGGATGGTATGATACCATGCTGATCATGATAACCTTGAAGGTCATGACAATCATTATGATCGTGATGGTCATCATGATAATGATACTTCTCTCCTCCCCCTTCTCCCTCTCACCTCCCTCCTCCTCCTTCCACCTCCCTCCTCCCTTTCTCTCTCCCTCCTGCTGCTGCTGCTCCTCCTCCTCATTTTTCTCGCACTTCTCTTTCCCGGGCGGCCACGTGACTTGCAAACCGGCCGCCCCATCCGTAGCAGAAGGACTTTCTGAGGAGGATGAGGAGGCGGATCAAGATGAGGAGGGCGAGCATGATTTTGGCGCTAATGCAGACACTGCTGCTGATGATGATGATGGTGCTGCTGATGCTGATGGTGCCGATGCTGATGCTGAAGCTGCATGCGATGAGGTGGACGACGTCGATGCCGATGACGATGACCATGACGATGATGATGATGGTGATGATGATGATGATGATGATGGTGATGTTGCTGATGATGATGTTGATGATGATGATGATGGTGGTGGTGGTGGTGACGATGGTGGTGATGATGCTGCTGATGATGATGACGACGGGGATGATGATGATGATGATGATGATGATGATGATGATGATGATGATGATGATAGTGATGATAGTGATGATGACGACGATGATGATGATTATGAGGAAGATGCCGATTCCGATGATCTCGATGATTTCGAGGACGATGACTGTTTCATGGTGACGAGGAGGAGGAGGTTGAGGGGGGAAAAGACAGTAGGAGGGAGGAGGAGGAGGAGGAGGAGGAGGAGGAGGAGGAGGAGGAGGAGGAGGAGAAGGAGCGGGAGGAGGCACGAGGATGTACTGGTGGATGAGGCGGAGGGGGCGAGGAGGAGGAGGAGGCAGGAAGATTATGCAGCAGGAGGAGCCGACATGACGGTAGGCAGCAGGAGGAGCTAGCAGGAAGGGAGGCAGCAGGAACATGCAGCGGGAGAAGCATAGTGCAGAGGGACAGGAGGAACAATGAACAACGAGGAGCAGGAGGAGGAGGAGCGGGAAAAGGTAGGAGTGAGGAGCCAGGAGAAGGAACATGGGGGCTAGGGTGATGATGACAAGGAAGAGGGATGAATGGAGATTGCGCATGTGACGTTGACAAGAGCAAGACGAGGGGAGGATGATGATCGTGATGCTCAGGAGGACGATTGTTTCGAGCCCATTGTTCGAACCGTTTTCCCAGCGCTGCACACACACCCTCGGATATGCAGCTGCGCTTATCGCATCGCTTCACAAGCTGCTTTATTTTCCGATTGTTAAGTTGAAGATTGGCACAACTACTACTAGGTCGCTTCTAACGCGCCTCCAGGTGGTCCTTTGTGCGGCCACCTTGTTCTGGGCGGGAACGCAAGCCTTAAATGGCTGTCGTAATTTCCAGAGTTAAGAAAGGAAGCCTTCACACATTATGTGTAATTGGAGTCCCAGCGCGGGCCGCAGTAAGACCCACCCGGCCGCGCGCCGGGCCGCACAAGAACCCAACGGGCCGCAGAGAAGACCAACGGGCCGCACAAAAGACCAGTCGCGGCTCGAGGCCCCCACCCCCCCGTTCCTCCTGCTGACCCTCCTCAGAAAGGTGGCGGCTTGTGGGTGAGGCAGGGAAGGAGGTGGAGGAAGGAAGGAGCGAGGGGAACAACGAGGATGATGAGGAGGAGGAGGAGGAGGACGACGAGGAGGAGGATGGTGGCCCAAGCCAGCGGCCATGCATCAGGCGTGCCTCACAGCGCGCTCAATGAGGTATCGATCGGGTAGTGAACACGCTTAGTATAGAACAGCAGAGGCACATGTGGGCCAGTCATTGAGAATCTCCCCTTCGCTTGCCTACTTAGCTCAGCGCTTCTTCGGCAGCTCCAGGAAACTGGCCGTGTTTTTTTTTCGCGCGTGCGCCAAGGCGTCACACGCAAGGCTAGCGCTGCCTATGTTCAGCGCGTTTTCAGAAAGATGGACGGGGCTGGGTCAGCTTCGAAGTGCTGAGACCCCGCAGCCGAGCTCGACGCGCAGAACCTCATCCCAGGCACCCGGCTGAGGCCCGCGGACGTGCTCATAGGAGCGCTGCGGCACGGGCTCACCGCGCTCGACGTCGGGATTGCCTTTTTTCCCCCCGGCGAGTGCGCTGCTGGCCGGGACTGCGCGTTCAGCACGTACGAGCGCAAGGTGGCCTACTGCGCCCCACACAGCGACGTTCTGGACCGTCAGAACATCCTGTACCAGCCGCTCGTCTGGTCAGGCTACGGGCGGCCCCACCCGCGGACGACACCCATCCTCCGCACACTCGCGATTCGCCTTGCCCAGTGGAGGGGATGCTCGGACGGGGCGTGGCGGCACCGCCGCCTGGCCAGGCTGTGCCGCCAGGCGGCCGCCCACGTCCGGGCCTGCTGGCCCGGCGGGGGATGAAAGGCGGTGGACAGCCCACCCCCACAGGCGCGGGCCACCCCCACTTCCCGCCCCTGTCCGCCCCGCCCCAGCACGCGCGCTTGACTCACACCCCGTGGCCGTGCTCCCCCCGCTCCCCCCTGCTTGCTTGCCTGCTTGCGGCCCCTCCCCCCTCCCCCTCCTCCTTCTGTCCTCCAC